GAGTACTAAGAGAATTAAAAAGGACTTTAAGTCACTAGGCCAATTGGTTGAAGGATCGAGGCACAGGTAGTTTTTTCTTCTACCCCTTCAGTAGCAGGTGGGAATATTGAAAGGGACAGAAAAGTACATGCAGTTAATGCATGGCTCAAAGACTGGTGCCGCCAGCAACATTTTGGGTTTTATGATCATGGGGAACTTTACGCAGCACTGGGCATGAGACATATGGATGGAGTGTGGCTGCCTCAGAGAGGGAAGAGAATTCTTGCAGGTGAGTTGGCAGGATAGGGCTTTAAACTAGGTCGGAAGGGGGAAGGAGATAAAACCTGGCCTGCTACAGAAGAGCCAGGGGAAGTATCCCAGGGTTAGGTGTCAAAACAATGACCCTGCTTAAGTGCATCCACTCCAACGTGGATGGCACAAGCAATGGCAACAGATGCTTCTCCATCTCCATTGGTCTGTACACCAATGTAAGGAGCATGGGGAATAAGCAGGGGGAATTAGAAATCCATGTGCGGTTGGAGAGCTACGATCTCACTGTGATGACAGAGACGTGGTGGGACAACTCACATAACAGGAATGTGGGCCTTGATGACTATGTCCTCTTTAGGGAAGACAGGCCAACAAGGCGAGGTGGTGGAGTTGCTCTTTATGTGAGAGAGCAACTGGAATGTATCGAGATCTATCCAGGGGCAGATGAGGAGCAGGTCGAGAGTTTGTGGGTAAGAATGAAGGGGCAGACTAGCACAGGTGATACTGTGGTGGGTGTCTATTACAGACCCCCTGATCAGGAGGAGAACCTTTTACAGACAGCTGACAGTAGCCTCTCCATCACAGGCCCTGGTTCTCATGGGGGATTTCATCTACCCAGATATTTGCTGGAAGGCCTACACAGCCAGACAGCCACAGTCCAGGAGGTTCCTCCAGTGCATCGAGGATAATATTTTGATGCAAATGGTGAATGAATCAACCCAAAGAGGAGCACTGCTGGACCTTGTGCTCAGCAACAAGGAAGGTGTGGTTGAAGCAGTGAAGGTTGAGGGCAATCTTGGCTCCAGCAACCATGCATACTTTTCACTTTCTCTCTTCTTAATCCCAAACACACATCAGTATGCATGTTCTAACTCACTAATAAGGAAAAATAAGCAGCTTTTCTTTATGTGAATAACTTTTGCTAATACAGAAAATTTCACTTTTAGATAAGTGGTGGTAATGTAATACAACGCCCAGAAGAGAAATACAGAGTCTGCTGGAGGAAGTTACATGTCATTTACTTAGTGCCTCTTAATAACTAATTCATCTTTGATTTCAATCTGTGGATGAACGCCTAATTACAAAAAACAGTACTTTCAAAACGGAAAAAAAACTGTTGCATTTAATCTGTAACTACATGAAACTGACAGGGCAGTATAAATGTTCAGGAAGAACCACACAGCCACAGAAAAGTTTAGTCTGGAAGGGATCTCTGGAGGTCAGCTAGGCCAACCTCCTGCTCCAGTCAGAGCAAGTGTGAGAACGTAAGATCAGCTCTCTTAGAGACATTTCCAGCTGTGTGTTCCAAATGTGTAAAGTCTGAGGATGCAGACTCCACAGGCTCTCTAGGCAGCTGCTTCCAGTGCTAAGCACTCTTGCTGAGATTTTTTCTTTATGCCTAACCAAAATTTCCTTGAATGCAATTTACAACTGCTGTCTTTCATCCTGTCCCAGCTTACCTCAACAGCAAGTCTGGCTTCACCTTTTCTCTGCAGCCCTTCAGGCACCGCAGAGTGCAGCCGTGTCCTTCCTTTCTTTACCTTTTTAAAACAATCTAGTTCCTTCTGCCTCACCCCAGCTTCCCACTCTGTCAGTATTTCACCTATACTAGGTTAGGAGAGACGAAAAAAGTGCCCAAAATTGCACATTCATTCTGGTCTATTTCCTGGGAAAAAAAACCACACGTATTTCTCACAACAATAAAACATTCTCATGCTGAAGTCAAACAACTGAGATGTCTTCTGTCATTTGAAGAAGAGGAGCTGACGATGAAACAGGAACAAGAGAGCATCATCTTTCACAGAAGGTATTTTTCCTGTCTTCATTGAAAACTATTGTCATCTCTATGTGTCAAATTTTTGTTAAAATCCTCCTACTTTAACAGCTTCTTGAGGAAGATGCATTAGGATTGTTTCAGACGGTTCTTCTAAGTGTTAATTACAGAACAAGACCACTATTATAAAAATCATTCAAATTCAGTGTCAAATACGTTTGGAAATTTGAGAGTTATTACTAACCAAAACTGGGATGAACTGTGCTAATGTTTTAAAACCGAAAATTAAGTAAAAACATTGCAGCTATTAAGTAATTAAGCAATTTATGAAGACTGAGAGGGACAAGAAATAGTTTATAATTATTAAGCTGAAGTAAAAAAAAATAGCCTGAAGATGTCTGCTTTCAAATATAATTGGACATCAAGAAACTGTGTCAGTTTTTCAATGGACAGTTCCCTCTTCCAACAAGTGAAATGGCAGCCTCCGTGTGCTATCTCAAAACCCACCATAAGTTATTGCTATCAGAGTAATCAGATATGCTTTTGTTGGGGGTTGTTTTTACTACTATATTCATATCTTAAAAATACATCTGCTACATTAGGTCTTTACAGTGAGATTTGTATATTACCTGTAAGAACACCACAGTACTGATTCTGAGAAGCTGGCTTTTCAGTAATTTTCTCCTCTATGGACCTTTTTCGTCTGTACACCCTGTGTGCATGACCTGTCACAGTCAAAGTGTGATTGAGTGGCTCAATAAATATGAAGTCCTCATTAATCTGTATAAACCCCATCTGCAAAGGAAAACAAAAGGAACACATAAGATACGAATTTAAGAAGGTATGAAACTGCACACAGTACTGCAGAAGAAAAAACCTCACACAACTTCATTTAAGAAAACCTTTTGGTTTTGTGACCTTCCCATCAAGGTGAGTACATTTTATATTTTACAAGCTTTTCTACTTAAGGGAATTAGAATAAATTTCATTTCTTTCAACTAAATCTGTGTGGGTGGGTGGCTACCTGCCAGTAGCAGAGGCATGGTAAAAGATCTGGAATGTTAAAAGTTTGCTTTGGGAGACCCGTGGGGTCATTTAAATACGTACAGCATGTACAGAAAAGTCCATACACTAGTTTTATTACTCAGTGTATTGTCACATTTTTAGATCACTATAGTCAATGAAATAAAGGGAGTAATTTAGGGCATAAGAATACATCCTGAACAATTATGGAGAAGAAAAGACACTTTGTGACACTACTTTCACATTTTTACATTTTAGAAGTATGAAGAAGAAGAAGAAGAAGAAGAAGAAGAAAGGCAGCAATCCTTCCTTGGTTGCCAGCAGCCAAAACAGAAAAAAAACTTTCTGATGTAGCCATTTAATTGGTAAGCTTCCCCCCAGGACTAACATATTTACATACACAATCATACACAAAAAGCTAACAAATCAGATGCATAACTAATATTACAAGAGTGTGGCAAAATGTAAAAAAATCTATAAAATGTATTTATATAAATACCATGCAAATCTAATACAGCTCAGATTGTTAAGCTACCAACACACACAAGTTCCTATCAAGAATAAAGCTGGAGACAGCAAGGTATTGTGTTGTATTTTCCTCCTAGAAAGTGATATCAGCAAGATTGACAGTTCTCATTCTCTAAACAACCTATTAAACATTTTTGCTACAAAAAGAAAACAATGTGACACATCTGGCTAAGAGAAGCAAAAAGCCCTTCTGTATGCTTCCATGTAGTATGAAGGGAGAGAAATGGAAAAGAATTTTGTTTCTTCTGGAATTACGTATATATCATTATCACATACGATATTTTGCCTGACATATGGATAAATCATCAAAAAGAAATTCCAATCCAAGCAAGAAAACAAAATTAAATTTTATAGGTGGCACAAAATACCATTTCCTTCAAAAGTAAGTGGGCACTACTTAAAAAAGAAAAAAACCCCACAAACCACAATCTCTCTGTATAATCACATTAAAAAAATGTCAATACATGTATTTGATTTTTCAGTCAGCAACACTAGCTACACAATGCTGAACAGATGTTGAAAGGTTATCATTAACATTGTACAGAAATATAGGACTAGTTGGGTTTGTTTGGCTGTTCTGTTTCCTTTTTGCACTCATTTTTTAGGTCAGTTTATCTTCACTGTGAGTTTTAAATGTTACAAGATAAGGTACTTATGTATTGCTAGGTACCTTCCAGACACCTGCACCATAGTTGGCAAAGGACATCTACCAGATACCACTCCTGTATACCTTTAGTAACGTCTCCTTTATATAATAATTAACTTTTTTAATAAAACTATAATCGATGTTAAATGAAAGTTTCTTTTAAAGCATAGCTCTCTAATACTAGTAAAATGCACAATTTTTCATTTGAATTTTATGCTTAATGCTGAATTTCACTCAGGTATAGTTTGTTTGTTTGTGGTTTTTTTTAAAAATAATCATTATTTAGCCTCTGAAAGATACTGATAAATTCTGGATATAGAACAGGAATAGCAGCCCATGAGGTGGTTCTGCAGGTTTCCCCTATTGACCTACAAAAAAGGCCTTAGTCCACACTGAATGAAGACTCGATCACAGTACATTTTCTGTATTTCTTCTGTCTTTATTCTCTTTGCTGCAAAATGAAGCCAAGGCTTTGAGATGCTGTTCTTCACATTGCCAACTGGACATACTGATAAGCTGTGCTAGAACCGCTGACATTTCTTACCACCTTTCAGCTTCATGCACAAACTGAAGGCTAATCCATTGGTAGAGAACTCCAAAAATTATTGCCATTCTCTTGTATCAGAAGATAAAGAACAAAACAATAATGTAAAGTTTATTGAATAAAATTAACCTCAGTTATATGTATTCATATGGATGACCTTCAGACAAACTGGATAACAAATAGTCTCTGTGATTATTTTGACGGCTTTTGAAAAAAAAAGTAACTATTTGTCCATCTCTTGGACAATTTCAAGAGTGGAAAAGGGAAGATGAAGCAATATCCCTAACAACCATGCCTTTATTTTTTCATAATCATTAGAAGTGGAGTTAAGAAGATTGAAGGAGTCCAGCGCAGAGCCACAAAGATGATGGAGTGGAACATCTCCCTTATGAGGGAAGACTGAAGGAGCTGGGTCCCTTTAACTTGGAGAAGAGAAGATTAAGGGATGACTTCACTAATGTTTGTAAATATGTCAAGGGGGAGTGTCAGGAGGATGGAGCCAGGCTCTTTTCAGCAACGTCCAATGCCAGGACAAGGGGCAATGGGTACAAGCTGGAACACAGGAGGTTCCACAAAAATACTAGAAAAAATTTTTTCACTGTGAGGGTGACGGAGCACTGGCACAGGCTGCCCAGGGAGGTTGTGGAGTCTCCTTCTCTGGAGACATTCAAAACCCGCCTGGACGCGTTCCTGTGTGACCTACTGCAGGTGATCGTGCTCTGGCAGGGGGATTGGACTAGATGATCTTTTGACATCCCTTGCAACCCCTGACATTCTGTGATTCTGTGATTCTGTGATCTTCTACCATAAAAACAAACAAATCAAAGCCATGCATTAAAGTATCACAATTTCAACATGTTTTCAGATATTGGAAGCCAGGGTCAAATAAGGAAAATGCACAGCAAAATAAAGATTAAAAAATGTAAAAAAATAACATGCACACTGTGTAGAAGTGTGAGTTCTGAGGGACTGACCCACCTCCCACCAATCTCATCTTCAGTAAACAAAAAGGCTACCAGGATGGTGGCCTTTTTTAAGGTAAATGTAACACAACATGCCATTCTTCCTCCTACATTCAGGTAACCCTGTATTTTCAAGTTGCTTACTTGAAATAAAACAAAACTAATATGTAGTACAACTACATCTCAGTAGAGCTCCAGGCCAGGACAATCTCATTTGGTAAAAATTCCACAGACTTTCTAAGTAAGGATGAATTGGGTATCAGCTCTGCATTTTATTTACTTCATGCATTGGAGTGAGACCTTACGTACGGGGCAGACTGCAACAAATGAGCATGTAAAATATTACATGGGACGAAGTATGGACACTCTTAAAATGGACTCAGATCCTCCATGTATATTTTAAAGTGGACACTTGCCCTCGTAAATGAAAGCTTTCCACAACACACATTCACATCGTATCAAGACTTTTCACTTGCCTGAAAGAAATACAAAAAAGCCATGTGGAAACATTACTCTGAATGAACACCAACCTTTTGTCTTATCTAAAGAAAATGTAGCTCCTATCTGGAATATGTCAATAATGCAAAAAGGCAGGCAGACTTCTTCCAAAATATGAAACCTGTTTTGTTTTGTTTTGTTTTTCTTACATCCCATTAGAAATATCATAGATGAGAGAAGGAGAAGTATCTGAGTAGTCTGTGCAATTGCATTTGATAAAAGATATTATAATATAAACTGCTAGGCCATCATATTTCTAATATCTACGTTAGAACACTCATGCTAATCTTTTCTGCGCAGCACTTCTTTCCTAAAAGGACAGCAATTGCCTTTGTTACCATTATCACTTAAAAAAACAACCAGCATGACAAGCATGTAGTACTGTCAGAGGTGAAGTCATTCCCATTTTAATATCCCAGGGAAGAGGTGAGGCACAGATAATATTGTGTCAAAAAGGAGAAACTACACATATTGGCAAATACGTTGCGTTGTTTTCACTGAAATGCAATAACAAATGCAGATAACATAAAAAACCTCAAAGAAATGTGAGAACACTAAGGCTCTTTTACTTTTTTAAAAAAAAAAAACCTCGTTTTCCAGCTCCAGAAGATGAGTCTCAGTGGTCTACTATTTACCATTAGAAGCTTATGAAGGAGCAATTTCTAATCCTGCAGCTTGACATTTCAAAGCGAAATATTTCATTCACTAAAGAGTTCACCCCTGTGGTGGGTTGACCTTGGCCAGCTGCCAGACACACACCCAGCTGCTCTCTTACTCCCCCTCCACAGAAGGACAGGGGGAGAAAATAAGATTAAAAAGACAAATGCTCATGGGTTGAGACAAGGACAGGGAGATCATTTAGCTATTACCATCATGGGTAAATAAAACTTGAGTTTCAGAGAACTAACTTAATTTATTGTCAATTAAAACAGATTTGGATAGTGGGAAACGAAGATGAACACCCTTCCGCTGCTCCTGAAGTGGCACGGAGTGGGCAGGGAACAGTGGGTATGGTCAGCACATAAAACTTTCTTTCTGCCTCTCCCTTATCCCTTCCTCCCTCTCCACAGGCTGCAGCCCTTCAGCATAAGTTTGCTCTAGCGTTGGCTCTCCATAGCCTGCAGTACTCTTCAGGGCATGCCCACCATCTCTGGCCTGGAGTCCTTCATGGATGAAGAGGATGTTATGGAGGCCCTGCAGTGGGGATATCTGCTCTGGCACCTGGAGCATGACCACCGCCTCATCCTCAGTCCTTGGTGTCTGCAGGATATTTCACTTCTTTTCCCCTCACTCCTCACACTGCTAGGCAACATTTTACCCTTTCCTTTCACTAGGGGTGCTGCCACTTTGGACAAGTGGCTCAGCCATGCCCTGCAGCAAGGCAGCTGGAGCCAGATTAAATTTAGCATCATGATTCTAACAATGCTATCAGGACCTGACTTCAGCTGAAACACAACAGAAAGTGTCCAGCTCTTACTAATGTCTATAATAAAGCAAGTGCAAATAACTTTTCAAACAGCGTAAATAAGAATCTCACATATTCTCGTTATTCAAACACAGCTTTCCATCTTGACGTATGTTCATTGCTGAAGTC